TTTTCTCATACATTTCTGCTTTAATCTAGAAGAATTTGAGTCACATAAATAAATTGCTTATTTGCTGGTTCATCCTTTGAGTTAGGTGCCTTTTTATGCTTTTTAATGATTCATATGTTAGTGTTTTTAACAACAATGAAAAAAACGTCTTTTATTTAAAGGACAAAGGCACACAGCGTTGCAGAGACTTGAACACTTTTACACGGTTTATTCACTTTTATGCTTGTGCATCACGTCTCTCTCCCCCCACAGGTCGCAACATCCTGCTGAAATAGGGAAGGCATGATTAGATGATGGAGGACAGGTGTGTGGAGCATCCCCTGGCACCACACCCCACTGCTCCACCCCTGCAGCTGAGCCACAAATCACGCCCACCACAATGATATATTACTCCGGTAGCTGGACCCATAAAGACGACGACAGAGATGAGATGTGTTGGTAACTACTGTAGTCAACAGGATAAGTAAAGATATCATCACACATCAAAAACACATAGAAACAGCAAAACTCACTTTTGGCACAAAACTAGCAGGTGTGCGACTGCAGGAATCTAGATTTTGACTTATCCAGGTAATTATTGGTTAACACCGGGTTTTCTACGAAGGTGGTTCACTTTGAGGTAAATCATCATGGTGACACATGCTGCGACATTAATCTGCTCTGGTGCTTTTTATTCATTATTATTCCTTTAGAATTTAGAATGAGGTGGGTATTTATTACTACTGTACAAACATAATTGAGCTTGACAGTCATGAGCATCCACAGCACTAACAGGCACACGCCTCCCTCTAGTGGTCACATTAAGTTCAAACATGGAAAAAGTGTTGGCTACCTATAACATAGTCCTGGGATCCCTTCCAGGCCATTCAACCCCCCACACTCACACCTTGACCCATGTGACCTCAGTAACTCAGTTGACAGCAGGGTGGGTGAGCCACTCTCAGGACCACCGCCAACATCACAACCTCACTAGGAGTTAAATACCTGAGACTCTCCATCAGCTTTCAGAACTGAAGAGGTGAAGCATCCTCATGACCATAAACAGAGGTCCAGTTGTCTTCAACTCAAACTCTTAAAAGTACCATGACCTGGATGATGGAGCATGAGGTTAGATAATAATGCTAACAGCTAACACTGTCACTGTGCTTTTCCCGTGTCCCGTGTTTCATGTCTAGTCACCTTGTCTCTGTGTTAAGCTTGTGTGTCTTGCGTCTGAGTTTTGGGAGGTGTGTTTCCTCTTTTATTTTGATAGTTCTTATCCTGTGTGCAGTGTATCTAGTCTTGCTTCCCCTTGTAAGGTAAGGTCAACTTAGTCCCAGCTGTGTTCCCCTCCTGTTTCCTGTCTCCTATTCCTCTTGTGTATATATGGTGTGTGAAACACTTGGATTGTTTGCGTGTTTTCCTGTGTTTCTTGTGTTTTATATTTAGCTTTCCCCAGTCTGGGTTTCAGTTAGGTTTTTTTCCTCTGTTCATCAAGTCTGGTTTTTGTTCATAGTATTTTTACAGCCAGAAATAAAGGCTCACTTTTGCTATCTTTCACCCTTGTCTCCGTGTGCCTGCATTTGGGTGGACAATCACCTCACTTCATGCTATCTGCTTTGCCAGATGTGACAAACACACTGTTAATTCTTGCATAAAGTCAAGTATAAATAACATTTTTGTGTTATTTAGTTATTAAACAGCGAACATGACAAACTGAACCAGTATATGTTAATAATTAAAGCAGATCACATTGAAATCGACATGCTAGCTAGCTAGCTAGCATGTGGATGCTAGCCTCCATGTAAAATACAAAGACAGTTAATGAGCTGCTTCAACAGCTCACAGAAAGTTGTAGTTCTTGCATGTTATAATGTTATAATATCATAAATAGATCTTATTGTTTACAACACTCACATCCTCCATCTTTCTCTCGTTGCTCACATGTGCCACCCAGCCTCCACAATCTCTGATCAAGCTCCACTCGCCTGGGTAACGTTATATCATTTTGTAGGCTATCGGGCAGATTTACTAAGCAGAGCAAATTGTTTTTCAGGGTGATCTACTAACAATTCACTATGATTAAAAATAATTATAATTTATATAGAAAGATCCAGCCAGTTCAGTTGAGTTATTACTGGCACTGATTTGGGGCTTTTAGTGTGAGTTAAGGTTTTAAACGAGGCAATTCAAATCAATGAGAGGAAGCTGAAAGAGAAGCAATATGTTCATGATATCAGGGTTGGTTCTCTTGACAGAAATCACTGGGCACTGTGTGGACTGAGACTAAAGTGGAGCTCAGGATTTCTCCAAAGGAGAACTGCATTTTTACACATTTAATCCACCTTAAATGTGTGTGGAACAGCTGACCCAACTATTAGACAATAACATTTTGTGTGGCTTTCATTCACAAAGTGACTCTGAGCTTCTTTCATGAATCCAGGGGCTTTTTAATGTTAATGCTTTGCACTGTCAGTAACTCTGGCCCTAAATGTTTTCCAGTTTTGTGATGAAGAGATATTTTTACAGGCTGCTCTCATTTAAATATCATTTGCATAAAAACATCAGGGTACAAACACACTGTGTGCATTTTGGTTTCCACAGCAGAGATCCTCCACCACATTTTTAATGAGACCTGTATAAAGTCATTCAGATTCTCAGCACACTTCTCTTTTTCTTTTTTTCCCAAGATATGTTTATTGAGCAATTCACATGCTTGTATGACAATGGGGTTTACAGCATCAGATAGTTGCTCTGTTTCTGTACATTTACATCACAGGCTCTTCTCTTTTTCTAAGTCCTTACCAGGTCACCTACCCACTGTGATGACATCCAAGTAAAGGGAAACTGGTCAGGAAAAGGAGACTAAGTTGATGTAATAAGTTGCTGTGATTACAGCAGAACTGCCAGAGAAACATCATTAAAGGACTGAAATGTTTCTTGCAGCCAAATTATCTGCAGTCCTTTTTCCCTTTTTTACAATATTATGAACAATGTCCCACCAGGTGGCAGGGAGCTGCAGGACAGTGACACTGGTCCTGTCGATCCTTCAAAAGGACACAAAACCAAAGAGTCCAGATCACCAAACAGTCTGACCAGGAGAGTATTAGCCCCGCCCTCAACATCCTAAACCTGAACATCATGCTGTGCACCAGAGTTATGCTGACCAGTGTTCAATATGATTCTGATCAGAAACAGGGATACGAACTGGGAAGTGGATTAAGTGGGTTACTGGTTCCAGATGAATGTGATGTGCAGTTAGTGTGAAGCAAGTTTCATCTCTGAAAACACTTCATCTGAATTCATGACAAGCTGTCGGACTTTATGTGACGTGATATAAAGCAGAAACAACCTAAAGCCGGAACAGGAAACATACTCCATTACTGTTTTGTATCTGGTCTGAAGTCCTGTGTGTCTCATATGTTAGATTCACATATTATCAGGACATCACTGCTCCAAGGCAGAATCAGTTGGATGGAGTCAGGTCTTTGCCAAAGGAACCACAAGTAATTCATGAGCAAATATGAAATAATAATATAATTATATAGATTAATGCATCGATCAGTTTTGCTGTGGTATTTGGGGCAGGGTCATGGGGGCAGCAGCCTAAGCAGAGACACCCAGACCTCCCTCTCCTTGGCCACCTCTTCCAGTGTCTCCGGGAGAACACCAAGGCGTTTGCAGACCAGAGACCTGAGAGATATAATCTCTCAGGTCTTAATTAGTGCGATTGCAATAATATAATTTCCCAGGTGGAGGTACGTGCAGGGACTGCAGGTAGTTTAGCAAGTAACGTGATTTGATCCCCTACTCCTGTGTGCTGGGAGGGCCTCTGAGTCGAAAACACACCCGGAGTGTTTGCAGAGTATTTGGTTTTATTCAAAACAAAATACGTCAGTGAAACAAATTCCCATTTCTGACTTCAGGGATTTGTTTGTCTGTGAATGGATGTACAGGCTGGTTCGATCTGTATTTTTTTGCTACAGATGTCAGTTTGCCCACAACTTCTTTAATTTTATCTTTTGACTTTTCATTCTTGAGTGATTTACTTTTGTAAAATGTTTTGCTCACATGAAATGAAACCTAAATAAGTTCCTGCCGACACTGTTTTTATCTGTGGATAATTTTCCATCCTGATGGTCAGAAGAGTGTTTGAGGGTTTCAGATCCTTCAGAACAACAGTAAGTGTTTAAAATGATGCCTTTCAGTTTCTTAGATAAGAAACAAAAGCTGTCAGACTTTGTCTCTATATTTTTTAACTGTTTGATGCTGTATGATCTGCTGCTTCTTTATTCCTCAAAAAAGTTCTATAGAACAGCTTTTATGGAGGTAAATACTGCTTCCTTCATAGTGTAATATCCATTTTTATACAGAAAAAAAATACAAAATATAAAATATATCAAATCTAAATGACATCCATTTAGATTTGATATATTTTATATTTTGTATATAATTGTTTCACCTTTTTTTAACGATGCACTTCATCGTCCAACTACAGTCCAACGTAACACATCACAACGTCACGTGGCTCAATTCCTTTAAGAGACAGGTCGTCCATTTTGGGATCGAGCGAACGGGTGACAGAAAATTTTTGATCTTTATTTAAACCTTAAATTTAATCTGATGTGTTCAGGTTTAAACTCAGGTTCAGTTATTGAGTGAAAACACCAACAGACTCAGACATTTAGAACAAACTAAGAGTCAGATGGGCAGAAACAGAGAACACGGACATGTCTGCTGTAACTGCGTCACTCTGCTCCACGCTGATGTTTGTCCTGTTCGTCTCTGCAGGTGAGATTTACCTGTTAGAAACTAAGTTTTTAACAGAGTTTATATGTGAGATAACAAGGAATGAAGAGAATGAGCCTGGGCTACGCGTGAATGATATTTCCCAAGAATTATTTTCATATTATTTGGTTTGTGTCGGTCGGAGTGATGATGCTAAAGTCAGTTAGCAGCGCTGCTTTAAGGTGAAATAATTTATATGGAATCAGGTTTCTGGCAGAAATATCACACAAGATATAAAAGACAGGACAAAGACACATTGTGAAATAGAGCCAGAGACCAAAGATAACTAATTATTAGCAGCTGACACAAGAAGAAACACCATCAAAGATCATCATCTAATAATAGAAGACTGTCTTTTATTGTGTGTTTCTGATTGGCTGCTGTAGAAGTGAACAGCTGTACTTTGACCTTTAACCTCTCTGCTCTGTGTTGTTTCCTCTTTCAGACCAGAAAACCATCACAGCTGAGTCTGGACAGGACGTCACTCTGACATGTCGAGCTGCAAACAACAACATCATAGTTTTAGAGTGGAGCAGAGCTGACCTGGGAGATGAATATGTGCTTTTGTACCGGGATGGGCGATTTGAACCAGACGACCAGCATCCATCTTTTAAGAACCGGGTGGATCTGCAGGACAGACAGATGAAGGATGGAGACGTGTCTTTGATTCTGAAGGATGTGACGATTAATGATGCTGGAACATACGAGTGTCGTGTCTTCATGGAAGAAACACGCTCATGGAAGTTCATCAGCATCATCCACCTTCATGTTGATCCTCCAGGTGAGTGAGTAGAGTTGAGTGTGTGTGTGATCAGAGGTGAAGCTGCTTCCTGGTTGTTGATGTTTGTTTCTAAAGATGTTGTTGATGAGACTTTGTAGAAAGCAGCTGGTCTGAGTGATGTGATCAGAGTGCAGTAGATAATGTCTGACAGCAGTTTGAAGAGGAAATGGATTCTGTTCTGTTCTTCACTCATCACCTACCTGACAGCTGACACCTCACACCTGTTTCTCACCTGCAGGTCGATCAGGAGGATCTGTTGGACTGATCGTTGGTCTGTCAGTTCCTGCTGTGCTTCTTGTTGCTGCTGCTGTTGTTGGATCTTTATTCTACAGAAAACATAAAATAAAAAAACAGAGTCAGGAAACAAACCAGCTTCCAGCTGAACTGTGAGTCTTCTGTTGCTGTTCCCAGGATTCAATGCAGACATATCATGGCAACATCAGCAACATCTGACCAATCACACAGATGATTGTAGCTGAGCGGCTGATTTAAAATAAAAAAAGATTTGAAAAGCTTAGACATAAAACAGAAAAGTACCACAGCTGCTGGAGACAAGGCAGCTGAATGAGATCAAAAACAGTATATAGTAGTTTTTATTTTAATATTAAAAGCACTCTGTGAATATGTGAAAGCTTTACATGTATTGAACAGTAAGAATGGAAAAGAGAAAGAGCTGCTGCATCAATAAAGTTGAACTTTTTGAAGGCAGGAAGAAAAGAGAAAAATGCCAAGTGTTTGAGTTAACAAATGTATCAGTATCATAAGTTTATCTTTAACGAATTAGAGAAACTGTTATCATCAAGCAGCAAGAATCAAATGTAGGCTCAGTCCACTTGCTGTTGCTGTAAAGCAACCAGTACAAACAGGTATCGCGATTTATATAAATGTTCATGAAACAACATATTGTTGTAAAATCTATGACGAGTGTATCCTAATTATGGAACAATACAATTCCCCACTTTGTGTTAAATGTCTCAAAATGACTTTGAACATACCAAGTATGCTTACAAAAAAAACTGAAAAATTTTTTTTATTTTTTTTTGCAGTTTTTTTAAAAAATTAAAAAATAACAGGTATTGAAACTTTTTAAAAGGTTTAAATAAAGTATTGAAATGCCTTTGAGATTTGGGCTCCATGTGTTTTTTATTCATGTATTTTGTGTGCATTGGCTGTGCGTGTGTGTGTGTGGATGTTGTCATGGATAATGGAGCTGTCAGAATAAGTGTATCCTGATTTAAAAATAAACACTTATCCAAACAGGGGTCGTGGGGGGGATTGGGGCTCAAGTTTTAATGAACTTCTTTAAATATTTCTTTAAGATATATAAATATGATTCATCTACGATTAATAATGTGCCCTCCTTATAATTTATTCCAATCCCGTAATTAAAAAATGAAAATGAAAATGATCACCGTTTCTGTTTTTGTGGTCTGTATTTATTTATTTATTTTTTGCTTGGGTTCTTTGGGAGTGAATAAAGTTGGATGATGGTGTTCATGCAAGGTCTAAGAGTGAGAGATGTTTCAGCACTAAAGGTTTAAAGATGAATTATGTTTCCCCCTAACGACACATTTCTTGACATGAAAACATTCATGAAGGAAACTTTCTATCAGTTATTCACTGAACACAGTCCTCTCTGTGCAATACATCATGATTAGACTCAGTAACAGAGAATAAACTGACAGCACTGACTTTCTGTGACTTCACTATGTAACAATATGTAACTATGTAATAACAAAATCAGAATTAAACTCAAATTGAGCTCCTAATGAGCCTGTGACTGTAGTTAGAAACAAAAAGACTGCAAGTTGTTTTAAGACTGTTTATATATCTTATACAATTCTTCTGTTTATCACAGAGAACAGATTTGTTCTTCTTCTGTGACTCTAAAGTACAAACTAAGCCTGATGCGTGAACACACTGCTGACCTTTGATTCAGCTGGTTCAGATTGATGAGTGTGTAGCCGGATAAGCTACTCGCCTTTCCTTTTCTCTCCTGCGCTCGCTCTCGGCTGCGCAACTAGGTTAATCGGGAACCCACCTGCACATTGGTTGCAGGGTGAGCCCGTATATAAGGATTTGGGGGAAGATTTGGGGAAACCTGCAGACAGCTGAGACTGAAGAAGTCACTCGGATGAGTGACGAAACGTTTCTCCCACAAAAGGCTGCGTCCAGATGAACAGAATCAACTTTTTGGAGATTTACTTTCCTGGATGATTGAGAATGCATCAAGATGTTAAATTTGTGATTGACATGACATTGACCAATCAGCTGACAGGAAGAAAAATGGGGTCAAAATTCATACTTGTAACTTGAAACTTGAGTGCAGAGTTTCACATATATTTTTTGGCTAAGTCCACACACAAATCTTTTTTACACATACAAATCCTGATTTACAAGTACAAAATATTTATGACCACAATTTGAGCCCATACACGTGGGCCATCACTAGATGGCTGTTTATTAGGATCTGAAATCTGTGAAACACGGCCGTGGGAAGCTGCGTCAGCCAGTTTGTCAGAGCAGGATGGTTTCTCGGACCAGGCGAGCTATCTCACCACGAGCTCCGGTAAGGGATGCTACATGAATGTTAGCGCCATAAAGACATGTAGTTGACTGCTGTTAATATATTTCCTGTTTAAAAACAGCCAGTCGGAGTTGTGATATTTATGTTTAAAGCACTGTAACATCACTGATGTGTAAATATTCCATTTTAAGTGCTAAGCAATATATTAAAATGTGCTAGGGCCAATAGTTAACCGCTAGTATTAAGCTACTGCTTAGCGATTTCTGTGTGTTCTAACATTACTGTGATTCAGTTGAGTTAATTCTCTTTCCAAAACATTGGAGGAGCAGTAATATCGTCATGTAGTGCGTAAATGCACCATTTTTAGTTTTGTTGACTTAGAAGTTAATTCATTTGATGAAGATGCAAAAAGTTCATATAATGTGAGGGATCTCATTACTCTGTTGAAGTATTAATGTTTAAAGAAGTTGATTTTTCTCAGAAATAATTCAGGTTGAAATATCTTAAAAAGAAGAACAGTTCAAAGCGAGCTGTTAAAAGGATAAATATGGGAGAGTCTTACAAGTTGATTTATTCTTAAAAAGGGTAAATATAAGGTATATTTTCTGTTGCACTAAGACCTTGTGTGATGTAAGTCAAGTTATTTCATGATGGTTGAGACATCGTATAACTAAAATAATTTGTTATACTTGAGCAATACTTGACTGAAAGATGAGTGATGGAAAAAACAGATAAAATAGAAACGTGGACGTTACATTCTTAGTCCTTTGTGAAGCAGTAAACTATTTTAAATACGTTACTTGTAAGTAACTTCACAGAATTGTTATATTGTACTTTTTACAGATGTTGCTGTAAAACAGTCTAAATGTAACACGTACAGCAGCACTGATGTTATCAGTTTGAAAAGCTTCCTCCATTAAAGGCTAAAGAAGAATCACATGATGCTAGAACATCACATTTTATAACGTGACAGTAAAAATAACTCAGATTGCCTTTGATGTTTTTCTTCCACAATCAGAGCTCTGAGCTCCCTTCATTCAGAGGAGCTGCTGTCAGAGGGAAGTGCAGAATCCTTCAAAGTAAAAGCCTTTCTGGTTTGGATAGCTCTGCACTGCTGAGCATAAGTGGGGTGAGCCTGGGTCCAGCTACATGAGTGGTGTCTTGTTTTGGTGAAGCTTTTGAATTGTTTGGCCTTTGAGGCCCGTGTGGAGCTCATAGAGCAGGCTGACACTAAGCACAGAGAGACCCACAGTGGGGCCCGCAGTGGGCGTACACACAGTATACAGATCATACATAAAGCACCTGTCTGTCACATCAGTGTCTATTTATAGCTTTCCACTGAAGAGGAAGAAGTGTTTTCTGTTTGAACCACGTGCCGAAACAACGCCTCCACATTCTGTGGAAAACTGAGGGAACCCGCTGAGCAGCTCCTCCACACTTCACCTCAGTGATGCTTTTATTTTATAACACAAAGATTTAATCATTTATACGTTTGTGGTTTCCTGTTTGTTGCACTAAGAGAGCAGAGGTGTTCAAGCTTGTTCCACATGAAGCTGCTCGGCAGTTTGTTTGCATCAGCTGATTCAACAGATCAGTAAACTTGTGCTGAAAATAACTTTACTTCACAAACAAATGAAAAAAGGATGATCGGGAAGCTCTTGTGTGCTGTGGTGCTTGTTGATTAACTGAGCATTAATAAGAAAAGTGACACTCAGCTCCACATCGCTGCTCTGCTTGAACTTCATCTCACCTGGAAACAAGTGACGTGAACAGAACAGCGCTCTGAGCGCGCTCAGAAGCTCCTTTGTCCTCACTGCATTTCTACCTCCAGCTACACCTGAAAAGTGCCGTTTAGTTTGTGCACTGAGGCCTGTGGATGAGTGATGCCGATTCAGGACCACAGCCAGATGTCAGACCTCAGGTTTGAGGGTTCATCGTGTGTATGTTTGTTTATATGGTCACAGGGTTAGTGACCTAATTGCATGACCTGATCAGCTGATCAGTAATCGTACCTACTTTGATTGGAATAAAGATCCAGGGCCTGTCTGGGCTGTAGACCAATAACACCAGGGCCGTTGCTAGCCATTTGGGTGCCCTAAGCACAATTGCTTTATGGTGCCCCCCCGCCACTGAAAAAAAAACAAAAAAAAAACATTAATACTTTTGAATTTCTCAGTGGAATTTGTTTAATTAAATAACAACAAACATGACAGTTAAACAAATAAATAAGGTTAAAGGAGGTTAAAAATACTGTTACAAATAAATACTGAAACAAAAATTGAACATTGGAACCACCACCGACCCCAGCAGCCCTCGGCAATCATGTGTCGGAATTTTTTCTTATAAAAAGAATATATATATAATATAATAGTATTTATTAGTTAATGATATTTACAAATAGTTTCACAATAGAAATTTAAATAAGCAACTTAAATAACGAAAAATAAGATGTGTGAACACAAACAGCACCTTCCTTAAGTATACCTATGTTAATTATCATTTTTACAATTTCGTTGTCAGAGTATGCCTAGACTCTCACGCGCCCCGCATATCTGACA